TTGAATGAACTTTCATTTTTAATTTTTTGCAACTTTCATTTTTATTTTTATTCAACTTCTTTTTTTTATTCAAGTTTCATTTCTATTCAACTTCATTTTCTATTTAATTTCCAAATAGATCGTTAAGGTATAGTGGTTTCTGGATTGAACTCAAAATGTCCTACGGGCTTACAGCTTTCCAAGTTAACACTTGGTTACAACAAAAGAGTACTAACTCGTTTACACATTAAGCCCTTGGCTTGAATATACATGTAATACATCAAAAGAACAAAACAACAAAAGTCCGCCTGCCTCTAGCCTCCCAAGCTACGTCCTTGGAGGTGGCATGCTACCTGTACCTGAAAATGATATTCCCATATAGGGTGAGCCACAGCCCAGTAGAAATACACTAAACCAACCATGAACAATGACTAAAAGATTAGCAATTGATAGATGGCCAACACTGATACATTCACATAAATCACATATTTATGTCATACGACTTATGAGTCCAAGTTACTTTTCATTTTCCCTTTTTCAACAGATAAGCATATAAGCTATGTCCACATTCTCAACAGATATGTATAACAACAATATCCCACATTCACAGATAAGCATATAAGCTATATTCTCATTCTCAACAGATATGTATAACAACAATATCCCACATTCACAGATAAGCGTATAAGCTATATCCACACTTCACAAAGATAAGCATATGAGCTCTATCTTCACTTCTCTAGACAAGCATATGAGCTGTATCTACGGGGTTCATCCCCTATCTTCTCCCAACACTATCCGGTTTAGAGGTACATCCCCTATCTTCCCCTAAACCGCGGAGTACATCCCCCATCTCCTCCTCTACACATAACGTATACAAACACATTGGTTCTAAGTGGTGAGATTGGGTAGATGTGGTATTGGGAACGCTTATAATTTGATATAATGTTAATTTTATTTACATGTTATAGGGACTTGAGAATAGAATAAGATGAGGTTTTATTATTGATGCATTTAGGTTGCAATGGAACATGAGGAGACATTGGCAAATATGGCTAGGAATACACGCCAGGGTCAAATGAATCGACAGACTGGTAATAACAATCGGCGAGGGAACGTGACTAATAATGGTAGTGGTTCTCAAGCAGTCCGAGGAAATCAGGGGCAAGAGTTGGGACAACAAGAACAAGCTGCAATCCCCAATCCAATTGGAATGGTTCAAGTGCTTCAGACTTTGGCCGGAGTGGTGTAACAACAAACCACCATAGGGAATACCTTGACTAGACTTATGGAGCAACAACAACGGATGCAGCCAGGTGTTGGGCCACAACCGAGGCCATGTTGTAACATTACTAAGTTTAGGAAGATAGCCTTGGCATTTGACGAAGCCATAGACCCTTTGGAGGCTGAAAAATGGTTGACAGAAATGGAGAAGTTATTTCCCGTTTTTGAGTGTACGGATGATCAGAAGGTGATCTATGCTACATTTATGTTACAAGGGATAGCTAATGATTGGTGGCAGATGGAGAAGCGCATACACGAGCATGATGCCAACCCCTATACATGGGAAAGGTTTAAGAATGCGTTTAATGAGAAATACTTCCCTAGGAGTGTTCGTCTACAAAAACAGAGGAAATTTTCAAAGTTAGAGCAAGGGAATAAGACGGTTGCAGAATATGAAGCTAAGTTTACGAAGTTGTCTAAATTTGCATCAGCATTTGAAGCAGACGAGGATAGCAAAGCATGAAAGTTCAAAGGTGGGCTAAGAACGAACATTATGCAATAGGTGGTTCCTTTCGAGTTACCTACTTTTGGAGTAGTGCTGAATAAGGCATTATTGGTTGAGAGTGGCCTCACTAGAGCCCAAGAAGAGAAAGAAGAGAATTATAAGAAGAGGCCTAGTTCTACCAACTTTCAAACTAATAACAGTTCGAAGGGCAATGCTAAGAGACAAAACACTTCTTCGGTTGGGAGTTGGGGAAGTCGAACTGTGGGTGGTAGTGTTGACAAGCAGAACGATCGGGTACAGTGCACTAGGTGTAATGGATTCCATCGGTATAATGAGTGTCGTTGGATTACTGGGGCTTGTTTCTCTTGCGGGCAACAGGGACACAGGATAGCTGATTGCCCTAACCGGAAGGGGCATAAGATTGAACAGAAAACATGGACAAATAAAGAAGCATTAACAGACAAAGGGTCTTTAGGAAGTCAAAAGAAAAATGGAGGTCATAAGCCAAAGACTCAAGGTCGAGTGTACGCACTCACGCAACAAGATGTTCAGACTTCCAACACGGTGGTGTCAGGTACTGTTTTAGTGTCTTCTGTTTATGCACATGTGTTATTTGATTCTGGCGCTACAAATTCATTTGTGTCTATGGGATTTGTTGAGAAACATGGATGGAAATGTGTCTCTAGAGAGATCGACTTATGTATTGAAACCCCGATAGGAGGTGTTATGGTTGCTTACTTAATTTGCAAATCTCGTGTGGTTAGTATAGATGACAGGAAATTGCTTGTAGACTTAACTGTTTTAGATATGCGGGACTTTGACATAATTCTTGGAATGGATTGGTTGGCAACCAATTATGCTTCTGTTGATTGTCGAGGCAAAAGGGTAGTATTTCAGATTCCTAATCAACCAAAATTTTGTTTTGTGGGTAGTGGAGTTAACACTCCTCTTTTGGTAATCTCAGCTTTGCAAGCTAGACGGTTGTTAAGGAATGGTTACGAGGGCTATTTAGCTTCTGTGAGAGATACCCGTGAGACTGAATTGAAGTTAGAGGCTATTCTAGTTGTGAAGGAATTTCCCGATGTTTTTCCTGAAGAGTTACTAGGGTTGCCACTAGATACAGAGATTGAGTTTGCCATTGAATTGATACCCGGCACGGGTCCTATCTCCAAGGCTCCGTATCGGATGGCCCCAGCAGAGTTAAAAGAGTTGAAGGAACAATTACAAGAGTTACTAGATAAGAGCTTTATTCGGCCTAGTGTTTCTCCTTGGGGTGCTCCTGTTTTATTTGTGAAAAAGAAGGATGGCAGTTTTCGCCTTTGCATTGATTATCGAGAGTTGAACAAGGTGACAATTCGAAATAAATATCCTTTGCCTAGGATAGACGACCTATTTGATCAGTTGCAAGAAGCACAAGTCTTTTCTAAGATTGACTTTCGTTCTGGCTATCACCAGTTGAAGGTTAAGGCAGAAGATATACCTAAGACAGCCTTCAGAACTAGGTATGGGCATTATGAATTTTTAGAGATGTCGTTTGGGTTGACCAATGCGCTTGCAGCTTTTATGGAGTTAATGAACAGAGTATTTAAACCCTTCTTAGATCAGTTTGTGGTAGTTTTTATTGATGACATTCTTGTGTACTCGAAGAGTAAAGAGCAGCATGAAGAACATTTGAGAATAGTGTTGCAGATATTAAGGGAGAAGAAATTATTTGCTAAATTAAAGAAGTGTGAATTTTGGCTAGAGAGTGCATCATTTTTGGGTCATGTGATATCTAGAGATGGGGTGTCTGTTGACCCCAAGAAAGTGGAGGCGGTGGTAGAGTGGAATAGGCCTACTAGTGTCACTAAAATTTGTAGCTTCTTGGGTTTAGCAGGTTATTATAGAAGGTTTGTTGAGGGATTTTCTCGAATTTCTATGCCTTTGACTCGTTTAACACAAAAAGGGGTTAAATTTGAATGGTCTAATGATTGTGAGAAGAGTTTTCAAGATCTAAAGAGTCGATTGGTGTGTGCTCCAGTACTTAAAGTTCCGTCCAGAGATTAAGGTTTTACCGTCTATAGTGATACATCGAAGATGGGCTTGGGTTGTGTCCTGATGCAAAATGATAAGGTAGTGGCATATGCGTCTAGGCAGTTGAAGCCATATGAGCAGAAGTATCCTACGCATGATTTGGAGTTGGCTGCCGTGGTGTTCACATTGAAAATCTGGAGGCACTACCTGTATGGGGTGAAATGTGAGATATTCACTGATCATAAAAAGTCTAAAGTATATTTTCACTCAAAGAGAATTGAATATGAGGCAAAGGCGATGGTTGGAGCTATTAAAGGACTATGATTTGACTCTCAATTATCATCCAGGAAAAGTCAATGCAGTGGCGGATGCCTTGAGTAGAAAGACCCCGAGTAATTTGGCTACCTTGATCACTGACCAAAAGAATATCTTAGAGGACTTGCAGAGGTTGAATATTGAGATTAGATGGCATACCCATGGAGTGCAGTTGGCAAACCTTAGAGTTCAACCCACATTGATTAATAGAATTAAAGATGCTCAGGGAAGAGATCCTCAGTTGCAAAAACTTAAGGCTGAAATGGAAATAGGGCTACAGATGGAATTTTGTATGCATAAAGATGGAACCTTGAGATTTGGAGAGAGGTTGTGTGTGCCCAATGATTTAGATCAAGAGAGAAATCCTGAGAGAAGCTCACAGTTCAGGATACACTGTACATCCAGGGAGCACTAAAATGTATAAAGACTTGAAGAGGAACTTTTGGTGGAATAATATGAAGAGGGAAATTGCTCAGTATGTTGCTCAATGTTTGGTATGTCAACAAGTGAAAGTTTCCCCTCCATTGATTTACACAAATAAATAAACTCAAATAGACCGTAAGCTCTGATACTAGTTGTTAGGGAAAATCGATGTGAATCCCCACAAGTAAATCAATCAATGGGAATAAAAACTAATGCAGAAAAATTAAATCAAAGGCAAGACAAGAATTTTACGTGGTTCCCTCAATGTGAGGTACGTCCACGGGATCGAAATCCGACTCCACTATCAACCAAATAAGTTCCAAACGAGACACTAATGGTCTCACAATGAATTCCAAATAATCACAAATAAACAAAGAGGAAAGACCTCACCAAATAGATGAACCAAAATCTTCTGAATCAAAGTTGAAGAAGACCCAAAATAACGAACCAAATTAGCTTCCACACAAAGGAAACAAAAGCTTGAACAAATCAAGCACTGTTGACCATTCTTCCCCAGTTGTCCATTCACCGGCACTATTCCCGATGCAGTGTATCAGCCGTCGTCCACCTTGTTTTAGTGTGTTGAACAAAAATAATATATATTGAATCTTAGGTTTTGGAATCAAACCCTAATTATATCTAAATTGAATTAGGTCTTCACAAATATAATATATAAAAATATATTATACCTAAACCAAGCCAAATTGAAACTCTTTTAATAAACCAATTGGGTCCCACACTCCAATAAGGAGGTATACCCACCAATTTTCATATAACAAATGGCTATAAAAATGTTTATCAGTAAAGTCACTAATTATCATGCCAAAATAGGCATTATTTGACAATCAATTAATTGTAATTTTACATATATTTGAAAGGAGGTACACATTTCGAAAGCTTTCTCATCCCATGTTACATTTCGAAGGTGTTTATTGATGACAAAACCACCATTTGAAAGTCACATATGTTACTAAAGGATCAAAGTCGTCATTCGAAAGTGCTCATGACATCTCTTTGAACCAAATCCAAAGAGTTGGATTACTATAAAATTAGTTTGGCATTTTAACTAGCCATTAGTGGCTATAAAATGATATTTCAATGAATATATATAACAACACAACCATTTATCCTTTGAAAAGAGGTTTAACAACCCTTACATGTTCTTAATAACATGCTTCGAAGGTAACCACAAAACCAAATGGTGATGGTTTTATGGATCAACTAATAACCATATTCTTGGCCCAATATATTGCAATAACGAAATATTATTTGTTAGCCATTCCATCAAAGTCAACGTTTGATGTGATTCACAAATCCAAAATGGATTTGGAACAATAAAAGTCATTGTAACGCCCTCAAAATAAACCCATAATATCATACATTCAAAGTACAGGAAAAAGTTATTATATTACAATCATCTAAGCATTCTTACAAAATGTATTACACGTTAACAATAAAAGTAAATGCCCTATGGGCTTACAACTTTCCAAGTCAACACTTGGGTTACAAAAGAAGAGTACTAACTCAGACTACAAATTAAGCCCTTGGCTTGATATACATGTAATACAACAAAATTAACAAACAAGAATCTTCAACTCTCTCAACCTTCCAAGCTAAGGTCTCGGAGACGGCATAACACCTGAACCTGAAAATGATGTCCCATATAGGGTGAGCCAACGCCCAGTAGAGATATGCTAAACATAGTATGAACGATAACTAAAATGTCAGCAATTGATAAATGTTTAACTCGTACACAACAACTTATAACACTATTCAATCCCATGACTAATATATCCATGTTCTATTTCAGTTTCCATTTCCTATTAGATTCTCGATTTATAATTACGATTCAAAACTAGGCCAATCATTTTAAATGAGATCACATCTCATGGTTACGGTATTCCTATTTCAGGTGAGATAATAACTCATTTTAACATTTCATACTTCATAATAGATAAACATTTTGGTGTTGTATCATAGTCAGACAAGACATTCCCATGCTTCTCAAATGATATTCATTTTAGTGCTATATCAAATCAAACAAAACACTTCCATACTTTCTAAATGATATACATTTTAGTGCTATATCAAATAAGCATAGAAACGCTTCTATACTTCACACCTGATACACATTGTAGTGATGTATCAATGTCAAACAATTTCCGGTTTAGAGGTCCATCCCCCATCTTCCAATAAACTGTGGAGTACATCCCCCATCTCCTCCCACACAAAGCAACGTATATAAGCAGTTATCATATACAAGTTCAATCAATCAATACAAATGATACACATTTTAGTGTTGTATCAATGTCAAGCAAAACACTTCTAGACTTCACAAATGATACACATTGTAGTGCTGTATCAATGTCAAACAACTTCCGGTTTAGAGGTCCGTCCTCCATCTCCTCCCACACAAAGCAATGTATATAAACAAGTATCATATACAATTTCAATCAATACATGAAATTAATGTATTCTTTCAACCGTCATATTCGATGACACATCCAATCGATTAGTTTTAGTTTGCCTAATCATTATGCATTGTCTACAATAATCAAAACTACCCTCCACCGGTAGCCCAAGGCAATTATTTCTAAACAGATAATAAAAGCACCAACAGATAAATTATCCGCATTTTCAAAAGTGAACGATTTATTAATCCGACTCCACTATTCCATCTCATAATGAACCACTATCATTATATTCAACTCAATTTCACAAATCCACAACTTTCCCAAATTAATTATACCAATTAATTTATACACAATTTAGGGCTTTCTCCCCCTTGTCTCAATCCTGACCCCTAAGGGTCCAAATATTACCAAAAATATCAACATACTCATTTTGACACCCAAATACACAGTTATGGTTCAAAAGAAACAAAACCCCTTTTTTTCAAAATCACACATTTGAAACCCTAACTTCTAAAATCCAAAACCATTTATACAACAGCTGGCAATCTAGGTCAAAGCCCATAAAGATGAGTAGGAATCCCTACCTCGAAGTTAGAACTCAAATGGAGAAGAAGACCAAAACCAAAGTGCTCCAAACTCCAAACCTTTTGGATCGAAACGAAGCCCTCGATGATCAACACACTTTTTACAAAGGCCGAAGGGTAAGGGAACGCTCTAACTAGATCAAATCCTAGAGAGAAGGGAGATTCTAGAAGAGGAGCTCTCAAAATCGATTTTGGGGAAGTAAGAGAGAGAGAGGAAGTGTAAAAAATGATTCAAAAATGCCCAGCTGCCCTCTGATATACGACAGGTCCGCTCGAGCGGGGAACAGAGCGCTCGAGCGTCAAGAACAAAAAATTGGATCCGCTCGAGCGCGAGAAGGCTCGCTCGAGTGCCAAGACACAAAGAATAAAGTACTTCCGCTCGAGCGCGAAAACCATTCCGCTCAAGCGTAGATTTTCCCCTCCCAGAACTTACACCAAAAATGTACTACCCGCTCGAGCGCAAACAAGCCCGCTCGAGCGTGAATAACGCACCTGCAGAAGTTTTGCAGAGCACAAAATGATGGACGCATGAAATCTCTGCTCGAGCGGACCACTCAAAAACTGGGCAACAACAACAACAAAAAAAAAGAAACCAAATCTCTACCAACCTGTAACAACCAAGCCCAACGCATCCTAAAACTCAAACAAATGGAATTAAAGGACGAAAACAAGATAGATACAACTACCAGCTCCACGGAACCGAGTCCAGAATACAACTGAACAGTAAAGGGACAACCGGGATCGCTATAGTCATGGTATAGTGTGACCATGAAAATTCATACTTTTTGACATTTTGAAAAATGTCAAAAATTTTGAATTCATGAACAGTGTCTTGTTCATTATTCTTGACCATGTTTTGTTTAAAAACATGGCTTTCGTTGAATTGATTTTCATAATTGTTTGGCAAAGTGGGTTGTTTTTCCATGTTACCCATTAATGGCTTATGAAAATCCCCCATAGGTATGTTATTTTCGTGACTTGACTCTCTAAAAATTGGTTTTTGGACCCCCCTAGCCATTGATGAAATCAACTCTTTGCTTTAGCTATTTTCAACCATGGAAAAATTTTAAAAAAACTCACCAATTTTGGCCATTAAAGCTTCAGTTAAAGACTTGGTAGTGAGAGTTGACAACTCATCATTCCATTAGAGAATTTTCGTATCAAATTGATGAATTTCTCCAATTAAATTGTGTCTTTTTTCTTCCACCAAATAATATTGTAAGGGATGAAAGTTTATTTCATCAAGAAAATGGATCTTTTCTTGAAGATCCAAAATTTTTTGTTTACACCAATAGATTTCATCTAGGTTATTTAAAATGGACGAATCCAATTCATTTTTCATTTTTTACACTTGACGTCCCACCGGGCGTACCAAAAAATATATGTTGGCTTTTTTGGCTTTTGAAGGTTAATTATGTAATTTTAAGTGTGCCAGCAAGGATCAATCAGTCCTTACAGAGTTTTAATTGCCAACCAATTATTAGATGATTGTGTTGAAGTTCTTTCAGCCTCAATGAAAATGACTTTTACTAGTGGCTTGTTTGAAGAGAAATTTATAAGAAATAACGAGTACATAATAATTCAGAAACTGAATTTCATTAAGTAAATAGGAATTTACAATGAAATGACCCAGCCTTGAAAATATTTACAGCAACGACCACTTGAAACTGCTCCTAGGAAATGAAGCGCAGTACAGAAATTGAAGTGCTGGACATGTAAAACTAGAAGGAATATAAAGTAAATAAATTGGTTTCTAGATCTGAGTCTGGGTCCTCTGCAATGTAGCCATGAATAGCTATTTATAGGCAAACATTTGTAAGAAAAAACTACCTAAAACTACCTACTCTTCCACCTTCTCCATTTCATACTCTATGATCTTCCATAACTTCCTTCAACCTCCACTTCAACCTCCACTTCATGCTCCATGTTCTCCACTTTGTTCTCCATCATCTATTCATATTTCACAACTTCTCATAATCTCCAAATGAGTAGAA